TATATATATATATATATATATATATATATATATACATACTTATATTTTAATAATTAATTCTTTTTTTATATATATAATTGGAGTCTTCCTGAGCATAGGGATTTCTTTCAAAAAATTTCAGAATGCACAATTTTGCAATCTCTTTTATCATAATCTGTCCTCAGTTTTTACACAGGGCCAGCAGTGGTCCAAGGGCACGTTTCTCTCGACACAGACAGTGTGGTGTTGGTTTTGAATGGCCGTGAGCAGCAGAAAATCTCTTACTCCATCCAGTGGCTGCAGCACGTCCAGAGTCTGGTGCAGATGCGCTCTGTATCTCGGGTTGCTGTGGTTCTTCTGGGCAACGAGCAGTGCAATAACGACTGGATCAGCCTGCTCTTTCTTGTGTACGACAGTCCTTGGGTCAATGATAAAGACATCTTCCAGTGGCCACTGGGTGTTGCCACGTAAGTTTCAATTTTTAAAAACTAATTTTTGTTTTTATATTTTATGAGGTGTGTTTCTGTAATATTTTATTAGCATCCGATTTTATTGTTTTTATATGATTTAGAATAAAATCAGTTAGTTTGATTGTTTATAACGTGCTTTTTCTTTCTCTACAGATACAGGCATTTCCCTGTAGTCACACTTAGCGGTCAGATGGTGAAAACTGCTAGACCATATCTCTGCAACTTTCTTGGGACTATGTACAAAAACTCCTCCAGGGAAACTCTCATGGGCGTCCTAAAGCAGAACGGCTTGGAGAAAGATTGCCTCATGCATGTTAGAGAGAAGTATGTATCTTTGGAAGTACTGTCCATTATTTTGTCGGTCTAATTTGAAACAGATTGCATTCACAACAAAATTGCAAATTGAAATACTAAATATTTAAAATACTTACTCTATTGTTAGGAAGATGTAAAAAAAAAAAAAACTCGGGTCAGGTAATTTTTTTTTATTTTTTTTTTTAAGAAATCTCTATTTTTATTCAGCAAGGATGTATTAAATAGATCAAAAGAGACAGTAAAGACATTTATAATCTCACACACACACACACACACACACACACACACACACACAAAAACAACAACATTCAAATAAATGTGGCTCTTTTGAACTTTTTATTAATCACAGAATACTGAAGTGTTTCTTGAGCACCATGAATGATTTCCGAAGGATCATGTGACACTGAAGACTAAAGTAATGATGCTGAAAAAATGATTTTAATTAGTAGTAACGTTTCACAATATTACTGTTTTACTGTATTTTGAACAAATAATGGTAGTGTAAGTTATGATGATCAGTTAGTATGTATAATTGTTTACTTAGCCAGTACACATTCTCATGTTTCTGTTTTACCCATAAATCCTTCACAAATAATATCTCAAACATTGCTGGACTGCAGCAAGTGTTTGTTTTTTTAAATACCTCTTGCCGTTTTGTCATCAGGTGGCTTCCTCAAGAGACGGCAGACACCTCCAGACAGTACCAGATGGCATTAGCACAAAGTGACCTCACTCTTTGTCCGGTGGGAGTGAACACAGAGTGCTACCGCATCTATGAAGCCTGCGCCTATGGCTCTGTGCCCGTGGTGGAGGATGTCCTGACTTCAGGGGCCTGTGCAGTTGGTAACCGGTCCCCGCTCCGACTACTTAAAGATGCAGGAGCACCCTTCATCTTCCTCAAGGACTGGAGGGAGCTGCCTGCCATCCTGGAGAGGGAGAGAGAGATGAGCCAGAAGGAAAAAACAGAGAGGAGGATGAGAGTGCTGGAGTGGTACAGTGGCTTTCGTCAGCAGATGAAGGACAAATTCACAGAGGTGTTGGAAGATGCCTTTTTCAAAATCACCTAGGATTAGTTTGGAAAACCTTAAAGAGACAGTTCACCCAAAAATGACAATTCATCATTTCAGTCATCATTTACTCAATTATACATGTGAAATATAAGATGCTACTGTGTGTTCATGGTTTACCATATGCTGCTGTGCATTAATGCCCTCCATGTTTACTGTAAAGTATTAATTTATTAAGTCATGATGTTTCAGTGGAAATAACAGTGCAAAAAGTAGTAAGAAGTGTGTTTTTTTTTAGTTTATAACCTAGCTGGGTTACATAGACAGATATTTAATATTGTTAACATTGAATTTTTCTCACTTGAAAGTGTTTTTTGCTTTTAGCTCAGTGCAAGTTATTAAAAGAAATTAATTTTACTTTTAACCTGCCTGATCTTTATTTATCTAGAATTTAGACTCTTGCAATTTTGAATTGATTTTACAGAATTCAGTCAAGTGCTCACAGAAAAGATGTCTTTAGATGTTTCTTGAACCTTTTGGACTTTTATACAAAAAATATATACAAATGTTTATGCATTTGTTTATTTTAAAATAAAATGTCTCCTTTTTGGTTGTTCCTTTTGGTGATAGGGAATGATATTTAAATGATTTTGAACAAGTACATTTGATTAACAAATCAAATTCATGTTAAAATTTAAACTGATGTCCATATTTTCTATTACTGTTACAACTCGCGCTACATACTGCAGCACTCTGTGCTTTACATTCATTTACACAGTTTAGGGATAGATAAGTAGATTTTTTGTAGCAGATAAATGTGGGAAAAATGTTTCAGCATTTTATTTATTTAAATCATTTTACAATAACAATACAATACAAAAAAAAAGATTAAGACAAAACATATGGAAAAGATTTATAACTATGCCACTCTTTGTTTAGATTATCATAGTTTTAAACAGGTATTTCTGTCTTAATGTAATTTGTCTTTTAATAATGGATTTTTTTTTATAGATTGAAAGTCCAGGTCTGGGACAAGAATAAAACAATAAAATCTATAAGGCTACATGAAAGGCATTTGTAAATAAATTAAAAGGCGATTCACTAAGTATTGCAACAAAACAGCTGTCCTATAAGAGGCGCTGTGTGACTGTCAGTTTATCCACAATATCCATCTTCAGAAATTATGTTTTGTTAGTATTTTATAAAATAGAAAATAAATAAACCAATTAAAATGCCTTTTTTTGTTTGGCATTTTTATTTAACATGTAGAAACAGTTTAAGGATTACATTTTGCCCCTTGTAAAAACTGAAAAGTCAGTAAAAAGTCAAAATTGCATCACATTTAACTCTGACTGTGTGACACTGCTACAACTGGTTATATATATTTTCTGCTAAAATCTGAAATGATCTTATGATCGTCGTCAATGGAACCGGAACGGAATCACAATCCTTCATTTCTTCTCCTAGATGTCACAGAGGCAAGTGATTTATTTACATGCAATTTCAAATACTGGCCACTAGGCGCCCTACACGACGCGTTCCTCAGCGTTCCTAAAAACGAGTTGTTACAAATATTCAAAAGGCTTACTTTAAAACGTAATAATTAGAAATCATATACACTTTTAAAGGACTCACAATGAAACGATTTGTATA